TAAACCTAATAAGAGGAAAACAAAATTGTCAGTATTAAAAAAAATTCTCAACAATTGATGTGTAAGTAAAGGAAATCAACAGAAATTATTTTTGCCCTTTAATATGTCAACAAACTGACAAATGAAATATTGAATATTTGCAAAATGGTAAAATACTTAAATAAACACAATAAGAAAGAGAAATTTTAAATAAACTCGTGACAGAAAAACAAAAAGCCATAAAGGAATTCCTAACAAGTGAATCCTATCAAGTATTCAAAGAGCAATTAATTCCCCTCCCTCTTTCCTGCCCCCCAATAAGAAAGGACCCAAACAAACTCCTTTTTAGGGAATAAATATGATGTTTTATCAAGTTCATCATAATGAATATAAAAAATTTTGAATACATACTAAATTGTGTATATATTTGAAATACTTATTATGAACAAATATTCTTTTTTGATATGCAAGTATACCAAAAGAGCCAGTGTGACATGGCCCTACAATATCTTTCATATCTATCCCTCTTTCTCTAATCATACATACTCTATCCTGGATTAGTCTGTTGTTGCCTCTTACCTGGCTTTTGCAATATCTTCCTGATTGTTCTCCCACCTTTCTGTTTTTGCCCAATTCCATGCTACATAATTTGTCCCAGATGTTCCTTCTTTTCCCAGAGTATTCATCATCATTTATATTGGGCAAGTCACTTAACCTCTGTTTGCCTCAGTTTCCTTATTTGTAAAATGGGATAATAAAAGCACCTACATCATAGGATTGTTGTGAGTATCAAATGTGATAATACTTAGCACAGGACTTGGCACATGATAGGCACTTAATAAATACTTGTTCCCTTCCCTTATACATTTCATCATATTCAAAGCTAGAAAATGTTCCTTGCCCAGATTAGTTTGGGAAAACTTGATGTAACCTATGACTTAATGAGAGCTCAATATGTACTTGATAATGATCTTTTGGAATGTTAAATATCCTAAATAATCCATTTGTTAAAAAAAATTACTTATCTCTTCATATATGCAAGGCAGTAGTATGTGTGGAGGAAAATATGGCGATAAAAGGCACATGGTTCTTTTTTTGTGTAGCTATAGTCAAATAGAAGTAAGATATGTATTCATATCAGTATAATATAATATTAATGGTAATAAGAGAGGTAATAATAATGATAGCTAACATTTATGTTGTACCTACTATGTGCCAGATACTGTGCTAAGAACTTTACAAATACTATTATATTTCATCCTCACAACAACCCTAGTGGTTAGGTGCTATTATCATCCCTATTTTACAATTGAAGAAACTGAGGCATATAAAGGTTAAATGACTTGTCTAAGATCACACAGCTAGTAAGCAACTGAGGTTGCATTTGAACTCAGCTATTCTTGGCCCCCAACCCTTACACTAATACAAAGTATTTTTAGCTCAGAAGAAGAAGGAGTTGTAACTGTTAATTGGAGACTCCAGGGAAAGAGACTATTTTTTGAGCTGTGTGGGCTTGAGAGATGCATAGGTATCTAAGAGGCAAAGTTATATTGTAATAGTATTATAGATGAAGGAAACAGTGTAAACAAAGGAGAGAAACCAACTGGAAGTATTTACTGTGTTTATTTGAATGCAGAACATGTTACAATAGGCTTTCCATTTTTCTTTTTGTATCTAAAGACTGTTGTAAGGAAAGAGTGCTAGAGTCAGGAGATCTGAGTCTATATACTAATTTTTGTGACTGCCCAAGTCTCTCAGTTTCTTTCAGCCTGTTTCCTCATTTCTGTAAGAGGTAGGAGGGAGGGATAATACTTGTACTGTCTAGCTCATAGGAATGTTGTAAGGAAAATTCTTAATACACTATAAAATGCTATGTAAATAACTTATGTCTTATGAGTTAGCTTATATTCACAAAATAGGTAAAATTATCATTAGAGTAAATTTCTTATCTTTCTAAGTTAACCATCCTCTTTTCTTTGCCCAGTCACAGGATTGCTATTGCCATGCTGGGTGTTTGTCTTCCATGGTAATGAACTGAGGGTTACTGTAGTTATGAGCAAAGTATGAAAATAATGTGATAGGGTTTTTGGTGGATGGTAGGAATGACAAGAGGGTAGAATTTTTCAGGTTGTGTTATCCATTTTTGTTGTAATTATGAGATTGCTCCCTTAATTTGGGAACCTTAAGTGCCAGCTCTGAAAAGTAGTACAGTATATATCAATGTGTGGTGATTGGGAGTTGGGGTGAGAAAAGATCAAATGATACATAGATATAGATAGATAGATTAATATATACATAACTAGACCATTTATTAAGCACTTATGTTCTGGGCACTATTCTAAGCCCTGGAGATATAAAGACAAGAAGACAAATGGTATCCATTCTCAAGGAGCTTACATTGCAATGGGGGAAAACAGCACATAAAGGGGAAGTGAAAAGTTGGGAGAGGGTGAAGCAGACCAGATATTGAGCCATTAAAGAAATGAACAGTGTGAATGAGAGTGGTGGTGATATGACAATTCAGGGAAAGGACTGTCCAGTAATTAATTATACCATCCTCAGGGTGAAGTTATCCTCAGGGGGATATAGATGGTATAAATATGGCAACGTCCAGATAATGATGCTAGGCCATTTTTCATTCCTCCTTTTTTCTTTTTTTTTAACCTCTTTACACCTTCTGATATTGCTTACTACCTATTCACAATTTTTCTTCCCTTGATATCAGAGACACCACATTTTACTGACATTCTTCCTATCTTTCTAATTACATCTTTTCTGTTTCCTTTACTTGCTCCTATTCTCTCCCTTTTCCTATCACAGGGGTTCTTAACTTTTTTGCGTGTCAAAGATGCATCTGGCAATCTGATAAAGCCTATGGATCCCTTCTCAGATAATTCATTTAAATGAATAGAATTAAGTGCATAAAAACAATTGTATTGAAATACAGTTATCAAAATATTTGTTTAAAAATTCACGGACCTCAGGTTAAGAATCTCTTCCTAAAATATAAGTGTACCCTCAGGATCTAGCCCTATTGTCTTCTCTCTCTATATACTCTCTTCTATGGTAATATTATTTACTCTCAAGACAACAAATATAACTTCTATGAATATGACTTCCAAATCTGTATTTCTAGTCGCAACATATATGAGCTCCAGTACTGCTTCTGAACATCACACTGGAATTTCAGACTCAATTTGTCCATTATCCCTCACTCCCTCCCCAAGTCTATTCCTTTTGATTTTACTCTTTCTACCTTCAGCACTAGAATTCCCATGGTATTCAAATGTTCATGACCTTAGGATTCTTTTATATTCTTCCTTCTCTTTTACCTCTGAGATTTAATTGGTAAAAATATACTTTTGACTTCATTTCTTGAATCCATCACCTTTTATCTAGTCTTCCTTCTACTACTTTAGTTCAGGCTCTCATTACTACCTACATAGACTATTGTAAGAGCCTTTTTAAATATCATCCAAACTTTACTTTCCCCCTTAAAATAACCTCTGATTACTGTAATAATAACTTCCATGATAATCTTTCTTATATAAAGACCTGATCATGCCATTTCTTTGCTCACACCTCTTCAGTGGCACCCTGTTGCCTTTTAAGTACAGTTCAAACTCTTTTGCCCTTATTTGAAGGCAACATAAACTGACACTTTCTTTTTAGCCTTATCTCATTATTGCTGTCCTCATCCTATATGATCCTAGCAGATTGGATAGCTCTTTCTCCTTATGCACCGTACTCTCTAGCCTCTGTGTCTTTGCTTGTATTATTCTTTATGTATGTGTGGATTGTCTTTCATCCTTATTTTATTTTGTTGAACTCCTAACCATTCTTTTAAACCCAACTCAGATGTTACCTCCACTTAGAATTCTTCTAAGATTACCACTTCTAATAATTATCTACCCCTTCAGACTTTATATAATATTTAGCTCCATAATTCCAGTATAATTATCGTGTTTTGTCATAGCTATCTATACTGATCTATAAGACTTTATATTAAACTTTATACTCTTTGAGGTTGTTGCATGACAATAATATTAGATTGTAAACTCTTTGAGATTAAGGAACTTGTCTTATTTTAACTTTGTAATTTCCCCAGTGCCTAATAAAGATGTTATAAACACAGTAGGTGCTTAATATATTTTTCTTAATTGACAAATCATTGATGCTGCCTTAACCAATATTTAAATAAACTATCACAGAAGTGATAGGTTATATAGAATCCCTCTGGGATTCATGTGATTGTTATATTGGGAGTATTAGAATATCTTACTACATTTTTTTTTTTTACTAATTTGTTTCATCACTTTTATTTGTATTTGGAACTATGTGTTACAGATGATAATCATAGAGACTAGGCCTACCACTTAATTGACATAGGAAATACCTGGAAGAGAATACTCCCTCTATACTTTCTCTGTAACATGGTCTTATAGAGTTTCTCAGAAAACTAAAAAGTAAAATGTCTTGCCCAGGGTTATACAGCAGTTCTTCCTGACTCTGAAGTAGAGGGCTATCAACCCATTATGATATACTGACTCTTCATATATCTGTGGCATATTAAAACAATAACTTTATAATAGAGAATTATGTATATATATGTATATATGTGTATATATATAAAGATAGTATTTAGTATATAATTTCGTATTATAAGCAAAGTTATGGTACTATAGGTATGTTAATAAGTTTATTGTTTAACCTAAGAAAAATATTTACTTTCATAAACTTTCAGACTGCAGTTGTTTAATCAAGTTATATTCAAGTAGCTTTGTTAGAATGACAAGAGGCTCTGTATATTATTGAATGATGAATGAATGAATTCTAGTTATAGGAAATGTTTATAAAGGATTTAAGCTCTGCCAAATCTTTATATTTGGGAAAATACTTTATATTTCATATGACTATACAAGAAATTATCCACCATAATTACTTTCTGGGATACTATGAAGTTATAGTATAATTAGAGTAGAATTCATGCCTTAAATTTATACTATTTATTTCATATTTAGGAGGAATAGGCAGGAGAGAAGAGAGACTAATACATATTTTGATGACACTCCTCACAGTCCTGAAAGGTATTTCATTTATATAGTAGAAATATATAAAACTAAATGGTAGCATTTTTAAAATGATATTTCGTGTAAATGAGGTTTCAAAATGTGTAGGCTTAAGATCTTTAATTGTTTGCTTTATTAGTGAATTATCATAATGAAAATAGCTAAATTATAACATTATAAAATATGCCAAAATAATATATTTCATAACTATAAATAGATTGAAATGACCATAACATTACATATGTATTGCAAAAATATTGCATCATACCCCAAGTAGTATACTTCTGTTAAGAGTTAAGTCAGTATTTTTCCTCTAAATTTTGAATTTTCTCTCCTAAATGTGGCCCAAGATGAATAGAAAAAAATAGTTCCTTTTTTTCCCCTTAAATTTATTTCATTGATGAAGGGAAATAAAAGTTGGCTTTGTGTGTGTAATAGAGGGGAAAATGAGATATTTTTCAAAAGGTAATTATATTAAATTTGGTACTAGATAGTTACTAATTATGTTAAAGTTGGTTAAAAAAAGTTAAACTTAAATTATAAGGCTACCTTAATATATTCATTTTAGTAACTTGTGCTATGTGACAGTACATGTCTTCATTTAAGGTAAGGTCATCTTAGAGTCTATGCAAGGGAATTTAATTAATGAAATATTGAAAGTAAATATGCTATTTGTAGAATTTGAAGCCACTGAATTAATACACAAATTTTCATTTCCTTTGAATAACTAGAAACTATTATTAAGATGAAGAATTGAATTAACTTTAAGTCTAAACCATGGAAAGAGTTATTTTATTTTGAATATCCAGTAAATGATTACTCTTTGTAATATTTATATTTCCATGAAAATTTTAGTTTGGGAGTCTTGGTATTAGTATTTGTTATGATGAGATTTAATCTAGAGAATCATTACTTGTTTCCCATGAAGTATGAAAAAAACACCCTGAAAATTGTAGGTTATGAACCTGAAAAGCCACCTAAAATTCTTAATAGTTTATATTTCCTGAGACTATGTGAATAATAACCTATGGGCACAGTTTGTTACTTTGTTAGTATCTTTTAGAAAAATAATGACTTTAGAAACATTAACCTTTTTCTAAGGGTAACACTGTATTTAAATATTTATTAAAGAAACATCCTTTGTATGTGTTTAGTGTCAATGATTGTAAAATTTAAATTTATCGATGAATATTACATGACAATTAAGTTGTATATTTTCTCTTCACTTAAGTTATTATGATATTTATATGTAGTTGAGACTAGATACTATGACCTCTCTGAAGCTGGAATGGTATATGGAATGCAGTGAGAATAATATGATTGTGAATAAAATTATCGAATTAAGATGTACTTGATGGGTCAAAGATATTAAGATAGAGAACAGATATATGAGGATAATAAAAAACTGGGACCAAAATTTTAAAAGTATTCATGATATTATACTGACAAAAAATGCAAAAATTTTAACGCAACTTCAGTGGCCAGGTAATAATCGTCATATGTATAGAATTTCAGCAGTGAGGAGACAAAGAAATTTATTTTAGTTATAATTTGGGAGAAGAAATAATAATTTTTCTGAAATATAATGTCAGTAACTTTGGACACTGTAAGGCATCTAATTTTAATGAAGATGATTGATTGAAAATACTACCTTTTACCCTACCAATTAAATTTGAGAATACTGGTACAACTCTTATTTCACTTAATATTCCTCATTGTACAATTTTAAAATTAATTTTAATGAAAACAGGTTGTTTTTCTTATTTTAAAATGAGAGATTTTTAATTTCTAAAAAATTTATGCTAAAATATATATTTTTTATTTTTTGGAAAGGTGGAAATGTCTTGATTTTTTTTAGAGGGAAAATTTTTCTTTAACCCATACAGGTGTGATTTTTGACATTAATTCTTGGTTGAATTCTATAACAGATTATTAAAGATATGGTTAGTGACCATGTGGATAAAGAAGTGGTTTTCACAATTAGTCAGCATAGCTTCATTAAGAACTAGTCATTCAAAACTAACTTTATTCCCCTTTTTTGGGACATAGTTACCAAGTTATTAGATTAGGGGAGTGCTGTACATATAGTTCACCTAAGTTTTAGAAAAACAGCTGACAAAGTGTCTCTTATTGTTTATGTGGAAAAAATGGAGAAATATTGGCTAGGCCAATGATTCTCAATCTTTTTGGTCTCAGGACCTCTTTATACTCTTAAAAATTATTGAGGACGTTAAAAGTTTTTTTTTTATGTGGGTTTATCTATTGATATTTATCATTTTAGAAATTAAAACAACTTATTATTATTGTGAAGATATGTGTTATTGTTTTTTTTTAACCTTACAGAGCCCCTGAAAGTGTCTCAGGACCTTCACAGATCCCTAGACCATACTTTGAGAAACCAATGGGCTAGACAATAATACAGTTTAATTGGTTTATAACTGCTTGAATGGTCAGACTTGAAGAGTATTTCATAATGGTTTGATGTCAACTTGAAAAGTTTCCAGTGGACTCTATCTCTAAGGATCTATACTTGTTTCTGTGCAGTTTAACACTTTTATAACATTGACTTAAATAAAGGAATAGATGATCTCCGTATCAAATCTGCTAATGACAAAGAGCTGGGAGAGACAGCTAATACTAGATGACTGTCAGGATATGAAAATATATTGGAAGGATAAAACTCTGGGATGGCAAGATTAAATTTTGACCAAACATGTGATTTCATTGGTGTAGAGAGCTTAGAATGGTAAAACTCACTTTGTCAATACATATTGACACCTGCTCTGCAACTTCTAGTCTTGCTAGGAGCACTGAGAAGATTTAGTGACTTGCCCAAGATCCCATAACCAGTGTGTACTAGATGTAGGACTTGAACTCAAGTCTTTTGTTGTCTCTTGAAACTATCTATCCATTATATTGCCTCTCCAGTTTAAATTTAATTTAGTTAGGTTTCAAATAACTTTACAAATGCAAATACAAATGCATGGTTTGACAGCAATTTGTTTGAAAAATATCTGGGGTATTTCGATGGACTGCAAGTTCAGTATTATGTGTCCTTCTTTTGATTTGATAGCCAAAAAAGCTAATGTGACCTTGGGCTACATTAAGAGAGGCATAGATTTCAGAGATAAAAAGAAAATAATCTCTCTGTATTATGTCCTAACCATAACATGTCTAGAGTACCATGTGCAGTTTTGGTTGCAACGTTTTAGGAAAGATATTGATAAACTCATTATTGTATGGAGGAGGACGTTGAAGGATGATGAAGAACTTCGATTCCATGCTATAAAAGAAAGTGTAGCACTGAGAAGACAAGTCTTATGAGGTGCATGATTGATAGCTTCAAGAGGGATTAGACTTGTTCTTTTTATCACTATAAGGAAGAATCAGTATTAATGAGTGGAAGTTGTAGAGAAGCAGATTTAGGCTTAATGTTAGATGAAACTTTCTAACATTTAGGGCTTTCCAAAGGTGGAATGAGCTATCTTAAGAGTTAGTAGATTCACCTTCATCAGTGGCCTTCAAGTGTATGCATAATAATCACTTAATGGGTATGTTGTAGTAATGATTCTTTGGTATGATATTTGGTATGGATTGGATAGATTGCCATCAAGGTCTTTTTTAAATCTAAAATTGTGTGAATGTTTTAATTTCACTTTCCATTTAAGGCTGTGAGCTTCCAGTTTTAATTTCATAGAGTTAAGCTTTTCTAATCTGTAGGCATCATTAAAGCTTGTTTATCCTTGGTAAGGGCAGCTAGGTAAGTGCAATAGATAGAGTGCTGGGACTGGAGTCAAGAAGATTCATCTTCCTGAATTCAAATCTCGTCTCAGATACTTTCTAGCTCTGTGACCTAGAGCAAATCATTTAACCCCATTTTTCTTAATTTCCCTAACTGTAAAATGATCTGTAGAAGGAAATGGAAAACACTCCAATATCCTTGCCAAGAAAACCCCAAATGGGATCATGAAGAATCAGACACGACTAAAATGACTTAATAACAAAAATCCAGGATAAATGAGTAGATAAAACTACTATAGATAAATGTATTTTAGAGATTACTTTCAAATCTCATTGCAGCTGTATTTTAAACTTTTCCTGTAATTTCCTTTTTATCAAATTATTTGACCAAAGCTTCTAAGAAGTAAAAATAAGTTAAGTTTTTACTCTGTTTCTTTTACTTTAAGGTCATTTGGATGAGGTTATAAGTAATAAATACTATCCACGTTCCTGAAGGTCACGTAATAAAAATAGATAAACTAATACAACATTTAAGATAATCCTACCTTTCCACAATATTTATACGTTAGTTCCTTCTCTACATTCTATGACATAGGGACATTGTCCTTGCTTTTCCTAGCACAAAACACTCCATTCTCACATTCTGAGAATTTTTATTGAGGTCTCCAATTTCTGGAATTTACTCTGTCTCCCAGTTCCCCTAGCTTTTTTCAGGTTTCTGCCAAAATCCCACCTTCTGAATGAAGTTTTCCCTAATCCTTCTTAAGGCTAGTGCTTTCCTCTGAGGTTATCTCCAATTTATTCTGTATATATCTTGCTTTTATTTCTATAGCTATTTGTACACTGTCTCCAATTCAATTCAATAAATATTTATTAAGTGCTTACCATGTGTCAGGCACTGTGCTAAGCACTGGGCCTACAGATAAGGAAAAGAGAGACAATTTCTGCCCTCACGAGTTTATAATCTAATGGGGAAAGACAACATTGGAAAGGAAGCTGAAAAGTCTGGGCAAATGGAGTGTGTGGCCACCAGAAGGTACTTGACTGGAGTTGAAGTCAAGCAGAGCTGCAGATAGAAAAGTGTTGCTTAGAAGGTTGTGAGCTCTTTATAAAGGAAGGCTTTTGGAGGAGTTTAATCATCTGCCCTTTAGCTTTTCAATTAGAGTAATGAGGCAACTGAGTGAGATGAGAAGGTGTTGAGTATTGAAATCTCAATTAATCTGCAAGAAATTTCAGGTGATTAGTTTATCCTGAAGCTTGGCATGTTGTTCAGGAGA